GTAGTACTGTGGTATCATACTGTCATACCTGTATGGTGTGGATAAACCCCAGGTATTCCTTGATCTGTCATACACTGAAACTTCCTTTAAGAAGGTGGCACTAGTTTGTCTTGCCTACATTTGGCAACATGTGCCAGAGAAATAACTAGGTGACTTATAGTTATGTAAGGAGAATTGTTCTGTAAATGCAGCAACCTGGTTGCCAATAGTTATCACAGCACCATGACTTCCTCTTCATGAAGTGGATGAGGAGGAGTTGTGTGAAGCATCCTTCAGTTTATTCATCTTCAACTAGGTCAATATTACACCACAGCTGGAATTGAGGCCTTCTCACCAAAAGGAAAGAAAGAAAGAAAGAAAGAAAAGGGTGGACCAGGAAAGGGTTGCATCAGAGTACAGAGAGGTTCTTACAAGGAATAAATATGGACATATCGCTAGAAACATGATATTCCTTCACTTCACTGGTTTTTAATATTAAACTATAAAAATACATTATCATACCAAGATACCTCTAGGCACTTCACAAAATTAGTTTATGAAATCTTAATAGTACAGCTTGCTCTGCTAAGTCTAAAACTAAAATGGTGAAAAAAACTTGAGACAGATTGTCATTATTTATATGATGGGTAGAAAGATCAGCACTGGGCCTAATACTTCTGGAGGATTTGAGGCATGAGTAATTAAAAGGCTGAAGTAATGATTACAATGCTTATCTCCAAAACACCTGATATTTGTATTTTGTATTGGTGCGATTACATTTTTATAAGTGCTTTCCCCCCTCCTTTCATAAACTGTCCAGTGGGCTTACATTATGGAGATATTACACTGATTACAGCTACATTTATCAAGGAGTAAACATCGCAGGAAAAAAATTGTTGGATGTATCTCACTATCCAAAATAGCCAGTCTTTAGTATTTTTATATTTTCTAACAAAATATTATCCTTGGTTACCCTCCCTCCCCATTTGGCTCTGTTTTCCCAAGAATTCAACTAACATGTGAGTTTGCATTAAAAACTTGTCAAACCTCCCTGGGGTCAAAGAACAAAACTCATTTTTAGAAACAATTTTCAAACTGATTACTGTATCTTTGGCCTCCCAGCATACAAAAACTGCAAGATGTTTCACCTGTTCTTCTGATTTCTAGTACAGCATCAATAAAGCTGGCCTGACATTTTATGTGGTTGACATTTCCCAAGCTGATTAAATGGCAAAGAATCAGGGCACTCTCAAGACTAGGAACTTGCTGAAGTATGTTTCTCCTGAAGATTTCTGTGGTAGAAAGTTTCTTCATGCCTTCTCATTACGAACTGTTACACTTTCTCTGCATGGAACAAAAAGCAGGAGAATCGGTAGATTATTGGGAGGGAAGCCAGATGACAAGTCTAATATCTTTGGTTTATTATCTTCAGTTAAAATAATTGAAGTAGTAGCAGTGGTAGGAGTAGTTGGAAGATCTTCTCATCCCAGGGCTGTAAAAAATATTTCAAAAGATTATTGCAGCCCATTACAAAGGATCTCAATGAATTACACCACCTGAAACTCTCACATGATATTTTAGTCAGAATTAACTGGTTGGCTTGGTGCCTAGTTTGGATATTGTGTGTGTGTGTGTGTGTGTGTAACTATGAGATATAGGAAAATATTAACTTAGCTCAAAGAAATGGCTGAGTTACAAGCAGTTCAATGAACCTTTTTCAACTGTATACTGAGGTGCTGAAACAAAGGATTGCAGAAGCAGAATTCTTCTATGAATATGTTTTATTGAGGGGGAAACGCATGCAAAATACACATGCTCTCTCTCACACACAAGATCTAGGAAATAAAGGTGCTAGATTGGAATAGAAGAGGCTTCACTAACAGTGATAATTACCAACAGCAAGGTTGCTCTAGTAGATGTGGTTTGGTGGGTGAGAAGTGGGACTTGGCATCCAGCAATTTTAGCAGAATTCAGAGTGATGTGGAGTCAGCCTGCAAACCAACTAGTTCCCAGAATAAAGGAAATTTTGAGTTTGTATAGAAGAAATCTAGCCTAAGGCAAAGTCCAGGTGTCCTACATCAAAGGGTCCAATTTTTCATGAAGTGATCACCTGGGGTGGAGGCTTCCAAGGTGGGAATTGGGTGTAAATCTTTAGGTGACAAACATCCTGTGTTAAATTTCCTAGCCTTCCTGAGATGTGTGTGGGAATTAGCCCTTTTTGCAACTTCTAAATTGCCTATGTGATCTTATGCTTAAGAGCTCATAGTGGGTACATTTAGAGCCAGGAAAGGGTGACTCTCACTATATCAAAAATTGAAGATGTCTGGCTAATTGTAACAGGGAGGAATCTGGACATGTCATTGCTCACCACTTAAACTTATTTCATACCTCCACCCCTTACATTCATCACAAAGTGATGATGGGAATGGGCTGGCATCCTGTTCAGTAATTATGATGTAATAAGCCTGATTTATGACAATATAATTATTCCAGTTCAAATTTATGATTGTTACACAAGTGCAACAACCAAAGATGCCCCCAAAATCCAAACTATGAAGCCTCTAGGACAGCCATTTTTAAGGTGATGGAGAGTAAAGTGGTGAGCAATGTTATGTTCGTCCCTTTCCAGTTGCAGGGTGCACTGAGACAGCAGCTGTGATAAGACCTCAACAGGACCTTGGCTTTGGAAATGAAATTTATTTTGCTTTCTTATTTAACTAACCACTACTATACTACAAGGTCTGGGAATGAATGTAGCTAATAAAAAATGTATCCAACGGCTTTTGGGATGTAGAAGATAGTTGTGTCAATGGCAGCTAAGACACAGCACATACAAACAAGAGAGACCCAAAGAAATAGTTAACATAGAAAACGTATTCTAATCACTTGACTTAACTTATTCAATACTGTCACTATGCCTGGCAGCAGTTCACCAGAATTTCAGACAGGATTCTTTCTCTGTCCTATCTGGAGATAACAAGGATTAAAACTGAAAATTTTTGCATGAAAACTGGATTTCCTTTTACTGCATTGGAATAATTATCATTTGCCCCACTCATAATAAAGCATTGAACACTATTTGTTTACTTGGAGAAACTGTAAGATTATGTTGTATTTTTAAGAGTCAGAGTACATCCAGACAAATTAAAAACATCAGAAAATCCCCCATTTTGTTCTTGTTCTTTCTGAAATTATTTTGGAGATCCATACACATTTTTCTTATAACAAAATATTTTCTATCAGCTCCTGATATGGTCAGAGACTTTATATACCAGCTCCCAACATTGGTTTATTTTAATCCTGTATAGAATTGGAAAGAACAGGAACAAAATCTGTGACTTTTCAATCAGTTTAGATGTGCCTTCAATCATTTTCACTAACTATGCAGGGATTGTGTATAGAACTGACAAGGATAGAACAAGTCTACTTATTCTAATGGTGCTTAGATATCTAATCCACAAATTATCATATGCCAAAAGGGCAGGTAGAATATGGGCTATAAGATCAAATACAAACCATATTTACCTGAGAATAAT